AAAAAAAAAAAAAAAAAAAAAAAAAAGTAAATAAAAGGTTTAAATATATATTAAAAAAAATAAACCCTTAAAAAAATATACATTCATATATGTATATATTATACATATAAAAAGTATTCAAAAATTTACATTATCCCTTATGCATGGATTTTTCATTTTATTATTTTTCTATGAATATGAATAATGAAAAAAAAATATATGAGTGATGATATAAATGAAAAGGAATGTACTTTTAGAAATAGTTAACTTCTAATTTATTTTCTATTATGCTTTATAAAATTTTTTCTATGTTTCATGTTTTTAAATTTACAAGAAACATTTTTTCAGAAAAAAAGAAATAACACAAATTAAAAATAATATAAAACAAAAAAATATATTTAAAAAAAAAAAAAAAAAAAAAAAAAGCGATAAGAGAGAAATCAAATAAAAAAAAAGCAAGATTTATGGTAAAACAGAGAATAGAAAGCTATGCAAATAATAATATAGTAGAACAAAAAATAAAAATTAAATAAATTATAACAAAACAAAATATAAAAAAGGAATAAAACAAATTAATATAATGAAAAACAAAAAAAAAAAAAAAATTAAAAATAATATAGAATCAGAAAAACTTAATATATGCTATATTATAAATTTATTTTATTACACTATTTTAAAAATTGTAAAAAAATTATATAAAATAACCTCAAGTAGATTATATTGATGCTTACACAAAAAAAAAAAAAAAATAAAATAAAAATAAAAATATACATATATATATATAATAAATATAATATATTTAAAATATGAAATATGATAATATTTAAAGTAATATTATAATCATTAAAACATTAAATAAAAAATCAAAGTTCTATATAGATACATTTTATAAAAATAAAATTTAAGTTTTTAATTTTAATGTTTTTACATTTCTGAAATATTCGCAAAACATTCCTTTTTTTTTAAAAAAATATTTTGTGCAGAAATTTAATTTTATTAAATATATTAATTTTAAAAAAAAAATATATATTACTATTATTATTTATTTTTCTATTTGTATATCGAACAATTTTATTTTAAATAAAGTTTATATATTAAAATATATTTCATTAATTTCTTTATTTACACATTACTGTTAAAGTATTAAATATTTCATAAAAACCTTATAAATTATATCTTATAAATTACATTTATATAAATTTATATATTTTTTTATTTTTAAAAAAAAACAAAGAACAATATATTACTTAAAAATGGGATGCAGTAGTGAGGCAATTAAGAAATGGGTAAACCAAATAATAGACGAAAATATTATTGCAGTTTTCTCAAAAACGTAAATAAAATTATATTTAAAATTATCAAATAGTTATTTTAAACTTGAATGTTACACCTTTCAAAAAAAAAAAAAAAAAAACTTAAATAGCAATAATGTATACATTAAATTTGGTTTCTTATAGTGAATGCCCATATTGTATTAAAGCTATATCTATCTTGAAAGGATTCAATGTTAATAGTATGGTTAGACCATATATACATAAATACATTTATTTACATATAATATTATAAAGAACATTTATTATTATAAAAAGAGGGAAAAAAATAAAGAAAAAATACATTAATAAATTAAATTATCGTTTTTTTTTTTTTTTTTTTTTTTTTTTTTTTTAGCAT